TTCAAAGATATAAAGATATATAATATTTAAACAATACTAAAACAATGAACAACAGTTTTATGTATAAAATTTGCAGTATAATTTAAATGTTTACAAACCTCAATGTCATTACTAAACGTTCTTTGGGTTGTATAGGCTCTCGAATAACATTTTCTTTTATCAGTAGCGGACTAATAATCGCAAATAATTCCTCCAATTGTGTTGCGGACATTCGTAAATAATTGTGGAATCGTATTCCATCTTCTACGGACAATTTTGGAATTGACACAGTAAAAACTATGCTCCGGGCGATCCTTTAGATATGGCGCTACCCAGTATTTCTTTTTACTGTATAATCTTTTTTTTCTTATCTTCTTGCAATTTTTGCATAATTGCAGCACACACCATAATTTGTCGTTTTTGAATTTGTTGTGCAATTTCCGATAACGTTGCCGACGAAATACCGTTCAGGCAGTTTTGCATTTTAACATGGTTCCTTGTTACACGAATTAAATGTAAAAAAATTTAATAAATTCAAATAATTTAACACAAATTGACGTCAGCGATTAGCGACTAAAGTCGCTCCATGAAAAAGCAGGAAGAGAAAACGGCCGGCGACCAGCGACTTTTGTCGCTTGCGCAGATCGGGTGCGCGTTGGCCGACCGAGGCGGCCGGAGTGGAGATGGTCGCTATAGCGTCTTGACGCTGCGTGAAATTGCAGCCTAAAGAATGTCAAGAAGTGAAGGTCTTATGCCATTAGTAGCCAGTTTAGCGAGTTTGTCCGCTTTTTCATTTCCCGGAATCCTTTTATGTGATGGAATCCAACAAAGAGAAATAGATCTTCCTTCTGATTCTGCCACGATGAGACTTTGTTTAATCCGGTGGATGATGTAATTGCCTTGTTTATGATCCGATGAAGTGATGGCCATGAGGACGCTTCGCGAATCTGTGAAAATAATAGCCTCTGTGATGTCAAGATCAGAAACAACCTTGACTGCATGCATTATTGCCCAAGCTTCAGCCGTGAAGATGGAAGATAGAGAAAGAAGCTTGTAACATGCAATGAAATCGTTGCTTGGAGAGAAGACGCTCGATCCTATAGAGGTGTGATCTGTTTTAGAATCATCGGTGTAGAAGGCAGTACCTCAAGAGGTACTTCGTCGAGGTATTCCATGAATGTAGCCTTTACTACCTCCGGAAAAGTGTCTTTGTCAATATTTATAAAAGCGGTGTTAAAGTCTTTTCTGTATATGGAAAGCTGGTATCCATTATCAAAAGCAGATAAAAAAGATCGATGAACATTCTCCTTTGCGTGTTTTGTGGCGCAATATCTATCGTATAACGGAATGTGCTTCCGAGCTTTTTCTCTAAGTGTGTCAAAATAAGCGGACAAGTCTAATCGACGCAGACTACGTAGGACGATGCTGAATTTATGAGAATATAATTTATATAGGTATTTATCGGTGAGGTAGATGAATCTGATAGTGAGTGGTTGCTCTTTGGCCTCTGCAAGTATGACATTAATCGGCGTAGAGATTCTGTATCCTAGAGCAATTCTGATACAGCGATATTGTTGTCTTTCCAACTTTAGTAAAGCAGATTTATTTCCTGTAATACGGAAGATCATACATCCGTATTTGATTGAGCCACGGAAAACCGAGCGATAGATGTTGAGTAAAGTATCGGGTTGCGGCCTCCAGGTGGTACCTGCGATAGAGGCCAACACATCTAAGACGACCTTGCCTTTGCGAACGAGATATTTGAGATGGACCTCTCCTTTTAAAGCGGGGTCCAAGATAACGCCAAGAAGCCACGCAGTAAATACCCGAGGTATAGCTTGATTGTTAATATTAAGTGACGCGTTAGGAGGAGTCGGATCAGCTCTGGCCCTCGTAAAAGTTATCCAGCAGGATTTGCTGGATGAAAGCTCAAGTCCCCTTAATTTTAGGAAGCGCCATACATTGTTAAGTGCAATCTGAAGTATTTCCAACGTTTGACTAAAACTAACATTTTTTCCTGTGGACCATAAGACAATGTCATCTGCATACTGAATAATGCGCACATTGTCCGGAATATATTCAAGTATGAGCCTGAGATATATGTTAAAGAGAAGTGGACTAAGTGTAGAGCCCTGAGGAGTACCGTTATACGAGAAAAAAGGACCTG